GCCCGGCTATTTTTTGGTTGCAGCCGTCATTGTTGTTTGGCGGGTCCGGGCTGGGGATTCGAACCTGCCACCTTAGGTGTAGGTGGCTGGCGCCTTAGCCGGTTGAGCTATAGGTGCCAAGCCGGGAAGCACTCTTGAGAGTGACGGTATAAACTTACACCCACCTCAAGGACACCAGGCATTGATACATTCACTTGCATGACAGCTCTGGCCTTTTGTATAAGTACAAAGAGTGTTTTCTGTTTTATACACTCCTCTTCCAGATTAACTACTTTTGATCTCTTTAGTTTACTAAAACATTTTTAGCTAGCCAGCTTTTGTGAACTATACTGACATTTTTAAATAAAAATTTAAATTTTGAGCAAATTACTCAAATGTCAAGTAAAAAATAGTCTGGCAACCCAAAGTGACAGTCCAACTTTCTTTTCAAATAGATTAAGAGAAATAAATGCAATTAGTCTAAAGCATGATTCCTCTGGAAAATATGAAAATATTTCTGAATATGGTTTTACTTCTGAGTACATTTATGTAGCATTAAATGTCATCTCAAGTTTGCAAAATACAAGGTTTTCTATGGATTATTGGATAGCGATCATGATAATCTCTCTAGCTTACCTTACCAAAGTAGTACACAAATACTGTATCTGACTGGATAATATCATGCCTCAGACATAAATAAGACAATTGAAATTTTGAGATTAAGATGTGACAGGTGTTGATGAACATAAATAGAAAATAAACAAGAGTGCTGAATATTTAATCAACTCACGTAGTATAAACTGACGTAAATGTCTATCACTTTTTTAAAAACTCTTCATAGTTTTATTTCACTAACTTCAGGTCCAATTTCCGCAACTGTGCCCATTTATTATCCTTGCATGTGTTCCCAAAATGGTAGTACCAAAAGATTTGTAGGTCAGGGAGAGAAGACCACTTTAAGCAGCACTGCATTTGCTCATCTTCCACCAGGCAACGGAGTTGAGCATCTGACAGTTCAACAAAACCAAGCTTTAATAGCATCCAGGAGAGCAGACGGGCTAACCAGACCGTAGATGCTCTTCCATTTGTCAAAATCAAACCCGAGAAAGCCTACTCTATGCAGATATAAAAGGCCGATATTCATCTTTTCTTTTCCTGTTGCCGTAACATTTTTCTTCTTTTAATTATCCTATCATGCAGTTTCTCTGTCCTTCCTTTAGTCCACCTCCTCCGATTGCACAGGTCGGCTGCAAATGCCAAGGAGTTGATGAACTCGGTTCACCCACTGCTAACAATTTCTCAGTTTCTGAGAGAGACAGCAAGTTTCTCAAGTCTTGTTTGTTGGCAACTTTAAGTACAGGGACTGCTTTTCTGATATTCTATTTATTTTATGAAGTTGTTTTGGCTTCTTCCCTCCTTTCCACATCAACAGAGTCCCCAACAAACACAATGCCATCTGTGCATCCGGTATGTGACTTCCACAGGGGCCTTAATTTCTCCTGACCACCCACATCTCAGAAGTGAAAAGTGAAAACTGTTCTAGAATTTCCTAATGTTACCTTAATTTTCCCAGTGTTAAATCCTTTGGTAGGTACAGTGTTTACAAATTCATTGAATGCAGCCTGTATAAAACAATTGTCTTTCCATTATAGTCAAACCCAGAATAACAATGTGAAAGGACTAAAATGAACAGGCTGGACAGGATAGAATCTGGTCGGACAGTCCATCCCCCATTTCTAGCTGCAGTAAGTGTCCCAAATTGAAATGCTTTCTTCTTGTTGCTTTAGAGCTTCTCTTCCTAGGTGATCAGCTGTAAGACTTGTGGCAAACAGTCCCGGCCTCCTCCAAACTCAACATCTCTCAGCCACTTGAGCCGCACTGACACCTGTCTGTGGGCACCAGTGAGGCCTGGGAGGTAGGGGACACTTTAAACATGACTATGAAGAATTCTGATTTTTGCATTGTATCAACTGCTACTGGCATAGGAAGCATACAAATATTTAACAAAAACAAATGTAAGTCCCAATGAAACTGTAAGCAAAATTACTTTTATTTTCATAAATAGATAACTCATTATACAAACACCACTTTTAGCAGAACTATGTTAGCTGCATTGCTTGGTATGAAATGCATGTAATATTTAACACAATCTTTCCACAACCTTCATGCAACTTCTTTACATTTGATAATTCCCCAAAATTTCCAACACCATTTCAAAAAATTAATCAGATAGTTTAGTCACCAAGTATCACTTTCGCTGAGTCAACAGTTATTACCTGCTCACGTCAAATATGCCTATTGATTTGAAGAAGTATCAGTTACTTACTGCAGAAGTACTGAGCATATTACACATTTCCATTTGATAAACTGTAGTATAATCCTCAAGAACGTCAATGTGGAAATTTATAAGTAGGTTACTAAGCACTAGTAACTAAGATAAACAGGCCCTATAGGCAGAGTAAAGAGCTAGTAGCAAGTACTGCTTAACGTTTTATCAGTGTGTGGCATACAGCAGATGATTTTATATTACTAAACACAACAGTGAAATTTAAATTTTTTTCTATGGACAGCAAAATGAAATAATTAAGCCACTTATTCTGTAAACTGCAGCCTCATATTAAATATACTATAAGCAATAATTAGCATGTGTATATGAAGGGAAAAAATCTGACTTTATGTAGCTTTTATTAAGGAGTGTAAACTACAACATATGATTTAAATAATCATTTATGTGAGCCCAATACTGATTCAGATAGGCATAATCTAGTCATTCTACATAATGAAATGTTCATTTCTGTTTCAGTACTTTGTGCAAATGTTATTTCTCACAAGGTTGTGATTCAATAGTTTATCTATGTAACTGCCCAGCACAATACCTAGCACAGAGTAGGCTCTCAGTATAGGTTACTTACATTATTTCTATTAAGTCAATCAATGTCATTTATAATAGGAAAATTATCTAATGCCCTAGAATAATCAAAAGATAAACCTACAGATGTGACTTTTATTAAAGTATGATGCATCTAATATTTCCCAAGTTTGTATCTATACTAAATTGTCTCAAATATTACAATCTATATTTCAGGTCATACAATATCTATGTTTGTTTTCTACATTTTTGTTATGTCCTTTGGCCTAAAGTAATACAGTCCTGACAGGATGTGTTAGAAAATCATATAAAAACAATGCACACTGAGATCAGGAAACAAAGGCATTTTACTGTAACTTCTTTAACATAGAAGTAGAAAATTACCAGTGTAATTCAGGACAACCTATCTCATTTAAGTTTCAAGTTTTTTCTTTACATCATGCAATATATCACTTCTTCAAAAAACATGTCCATTCTTACTATCTCCTCCATATAGAAACAGTAAGAACTGTTACAAAGTTCTGTCCTCTAAGTAAAAAACCCACTAGAAAAGGTATTTGTAAAAATCATTGTAGGAGTACTAAGACTGAATGAAGCCCCGGGTCCTAGAATAGGAATACCCTTTCAAAAGTCTTAACATACTTATAAACACCAATGTTTAAAATAAATTATAGATTCTAATAAATGTAAAAGGTTTGGTATGATGGTTTTCTGATCTTTGAGGGACTTTTTTTCCCCATCGTAAAAGAGAAGTAACTCAGAATATGCCAAGTCTCTGTTCCAATTAACACAATGGTAAGGAACTCTGTTAACAAGTTAACTCCTGCTGGGCGTGGTGGTTTATACCTGTAATCCTAGCACTTTGCAAGTCTGAGGCAGGAGGACCGTTTGAGGCCAGGAGTTTGAGAACAGCCTGAGCAATAGAGTGAACCTCCCAACTTGTCAAAAAATAAAAAAAAGTAGCCAGACGTGGTGGCACACACCTGTAGTGGCAGCTACTCAGGATGCTGAGGCAGGAGGGTGAGTTGAACCTGAAAGTTTGAGGTTATGGTGAGCTAGGACCACACCATTACACTCTAGCCTGGGCAACAAAGTGAGACTATGTCAAAAAACAAAGAACAAAACAAACCCACATATCAGGAACTTTAATATTAACAACAAAAAAACCCAAACAAAAAACTAATTTCTGGCATTCTTCTGTTATCAAGTAAGAGAAATATTTTTGTGAAGATAGAAAAACAGACCTGAAATGATATGATTTGGGCTATATTAGCCTGAAACTTACTACTACCAAGAGTTCCAAAAAAAAGACCCAACCCTTGAATATACCCTTTAGAGACACAACAAAATCTTTCAAATGTTGTCCTGATTAAAAAGGAAAATCCAAAAGCAAAGTGTAAAATATCTTCACTATATTAAAAATCAAGAATAAACTGAAGGCAGATTCCCTCTGAATGTAATAATTATTCTATAGGCTTCAGAGAAATCATTTTGAGAAATATAGACTAAAGTTCTGTGGTTTATCTTATTTGCTAGTAGAGAAATTCTAAGTGCACACTGCAGTTGAGGCGTATTTTAGGAGATGCTGCAGCCAGTGTCCTTTTGAGGTTTGATATCTGGCTCTTTCACAGGTTTTACTTCTTCTTCTGGTTTGGGTTTGGTCTAGAGAGAAAGAAAAATATAATCGAAATACATAAACTAAGATTCTAAAAACAAACACTTGATCTTTTCTACTTCAGACTTTTAAAAGACACTATGTTAAATTATATAACACTGATATTAACAGAGCTATTCCAGAAGCCACGTATCAATCCATTTAAAAACATAATTAGAAAGAAACATTTCAGTAAAGGAAAACCTAGTCTCGTAGGCAAAAATCAAGCTAACAGTACTCCCACTACACACTATTTTGAGTGATGAATCTATGCATGTAGAACCCTAAAGTTTAGAAATCTCTAAACTCCGCTATGTCTTTTGCAGGGTGTCCAATTTTTACCTTTTTTAAAGATTTTTTTGAGACAGAGCCTCAAGCTATCCCCCTGGGTAGAGTGCTGTGGCATCACAGCTCACAGCAACCTCCAACTCCTGGGCTCAAGCAAGTCTCCTGCCTCAGCCTCCCGAGTAGCTGGGACCACAGGCACCCGCCACAACGCCCGGCTATTTTTTTTTTGGTTGCAGCCATCATTGTTGTTTGGCGAGCCCAGGCTGGATTTGAACCCGTCACCTTAGGTGTATGTGACTTGCGCCTTAGCCACTTGAGCCACAGGCGTCGAGCCTCCAACTTTTTTTTTTCTGTCACAAACTGGAAGAATAAGAGTTGTTGTGGGACACATAGTAAATACACAGATACTAATAAAAGCTGATGAGCAAAAAAATAAATGTCCATGCTTACTTTTCATATCTAAGACCACAAACAAGCAAAAAAGTCCTCAAAATCTGTATGCGGCTAGTGGGCTTAGGTTGGACATAAAGATGGTTATTTTAGGGAATAATGTTTTTCAGTATGGGAAGAAAATTATATAAAAATGATCCAATTTTAAGGAAGGCATTATGGCTACAAAATAGTTCTATTCCTTTTGTCAAAGATTCCCTAGTATTTTGGTGGTTAGACCTCAAAATTTCCACTTAATCCAACATTTGATTTAGAACACCAAGAAGTACTTAGATATGAATAAAAGAATTTATATTTTACCCCTGGATTCATGGAATCCTTAAATTAGGCTAAGATGTCTTGCAGTAAGCTAAATCTAAACAGAGTATTGCCATAGCAATATAAACATGGGTAACTTTTTTTTCTTCCACACTCTTTGTTAAGAGGCACTGACAAGTTATAAAAAGGTAACACAATGTGTTAAACAGAGTGTCATTCAATTATGTAGGAAATCAGAAAACATATAGGCCCAGAGGTCTCATCTCTCAGTCTTCTGTGACAGATCACACCAAGTATTGTAATCAGACAAACATATAGATACATATAAATAGAGAAAAATATCAAAGTGCTAACTCTAAATTTTCTTTTTAAACTTTTGTGAATGGAAAGAAAAAAACCCAATCTCTTACACTGTCATCTTTGGGTCTCTTGGTGAGATCAAATGCAGCCAATGTTTCTGGTGTCCAGTGGGCACTTGTGGGAGGAAATTTGAAAGGTACAGGCTCTACAAGACCATAATTTGCTTTGAGTTCCAGTTGTGGGGCTTCCGTTGGAATTTTTTGAAAGTAACTGCAAATAACAATTCATATAACCATTTGTGTACTCAGTAACTATTTGAGTGCGTCATATGTTCAAGGTTCTGTTCAAGAAGATGACAATTTACTGATGAATAAGAGACTCCTCTGCCTCAAGTAGGTAAGTAATTGACAAAGTCAAGAAACCTTCCCAATTACAAAGCAATGTCATCGGAGCTGTCGATGATGGAGGCAGTGCGAATTTAGAATGCAAAAGAGGGAAACCCAGGTTTGGAGGTTCAGTGACTTTCTAAAATAAGTGACTAAAGCCGAACTAGGTATGTTTAAGAAGTGAAAGGCTCAGTATGACGAGATGAAGAATATAAAGGGGAGAATGTAAAAAGATAAAAACAAGGTAAAGATTAATTCTACCAACGCACATAGGTGGTGATTTACAGTTTGAACAACACTGATTTAATATTGGGAAATCACTTCAAAGAACAAGGAAAGACCAAGAGAACATTAATCTTCCTGCTATAAAGCTAAAACCAGAGTGAGATGAATATGTAAAGGAACTGAGAAGAGATTTAAAACAGAGAAAAACAGCAGAGAAACAGTTAAGAGAAAGTGAAGAGAGTATAAGACTATGTCCTAATGATGAAGGCTGTATGTTAACAATTCATATTTGCTTTCATATTATCATTAGAGGAGAATAAAAGGCTCTAACAATTGAACTTTATCACTCATTACGCATAATAGAAACCATAACTAAAATACTAACATTCTAATATAATTCTAACTGAACATAGTAGTAGTAGTACTGCAATAATATTAAGCTGTACTCACATAAACCCATTTTCTCTCTGACATTTTTCTAGGGTATTCTTCACAAGGTTTCCAAGTTTCCTAAAGAACAAATGTCCTGAAGGTTTAACTGTTGGCCCAGGTCCTTTGGTTTCTCCGTATTCTTTACATAGTGCTTCTGCCTTTGCATAAACTGCATGTGAAAAAGATAATCTTTTGACTATAATTAACATTGTTTATTTATACTTACAGGCTTTAAATCGAAGATAGTTAGAGTTTTACTGCTCTTTACCCAGTATAGTAGCAATACCGATAACAATACTATTAGTGGAAGGTGGGTGTGCTCTACAGGTTCTAGAATTTTTGTGCGTGTGTGTGTGAGACAGGGACACACTGTCACCCAGGCTAGAATGCAGTGGCATCATCATAGCTCTCTGCAACCTCAAACTCCTGGGCTAAAGCAATTCTCCCGAGTTAGCCTTTTGAGTAGCTGGGACTATAGGCATGTATTACTACATCTGGCTAATTTTTAATTTTTGTAGAGCCAGGGTCTCACTCTTGCCTCAGGCTGGTCTTGAAATCCTGGCTTCAAGCAATCCTCCTACCCTGACCTCCCAAAGTACTAGGATTATAAGCACAAGCCACTGCACTGAGCTCTGGGCTGTTTTTTAAACATTTTTTTCTTTGCTCCAATTACCTTATCCATTCCCATTTCCTTTCATGCACTCACTCAAAATCTCTAACCACCTATCCCCCTTTATGATAAAACATTTATTTTTTAAAAGGGAGATAATATCTTGGCAGGGATACTTACATTTTTCTGCTTCTTGGAGAGACCTGATTGCTTCTCCACATTTGTCACTAGCCAACAAAGTCTGACCATGATAACAGAAAGCCTGACAAAATAAATGAATTTGTATTCATTCTCTCCTCACATGATGCTTTTCACTATGATTGTTTTGTACATGTGCCAGATAAATCAATGTCTTTATCCATTGTTTGAGGTATCAATTCAATCTTATTTGAGTAAGCTCTGTTCATATAAAAGATAGAATTATGTCAAGGCTTAAGCCAAAATAGCCTTCTAACCATGTCCTAAGAATAAAGGTTTTTTGCTGAAATCTGTATTTAAAATTAGGAATTAATAGATAAAGGAGGAAATTATTGTGCTAACACAGGAGTGAGCGTTTTGAAGTTAAGAACTAAGGAAGTTTTAAGATAAATGCATCGGCCCAGGAGTTTATTCCTTAAATGTCCACATCTACGTCAAGGATTGCACAAGATCTTGCACAGTCTACTCGAAAACAGATATTTTCATACAAATATCCACTTGGATCTGAAAAAGGTTTCTGACGAACTCTCACATGACACTCTCATCAATAAAACAAGTTTGGTAAGGATAGCAGACTAATAAGTAATTCCAAAATGATGCTTATTGATGGCTCTTTACCAACTAGGTGATTATTGTGTGGTATGTCTTATGATTAGAATTAGTAAATATCTTACTCAATGTATAGGATGAAACAATTGAAAGAATTCTTATTAAAAATGCAGAAAGTGCCAACCTGGAAGTGGGTTTTGAATCAAACAGTGATTCTATTGCTATAAGCCAGTTCTACAACTCTACATCATCTCTTTCTACCACTTGGTGGACAATGGCCGCACTGACTAACAGTGAGCATTTACTGAAAGCTGTCTCTTATCGGTACAATGCTAATGAAGACTTTGGTGAGATGACAGGCCTAGTACTCCAAAGGCTGGAAAAATAATAATTTATGCTGTTTTTAGGGTTGTAAATACTTACATAAGCTGTGTAGAAACACATTTTCAAGTGAAGATATTTTCTCCATTTAGCAGAATATGAAGGCTCCAAACTGGATAAAGCATGATCTAAAGTTACATTTTAAAAAGCAAAATATAATTTCACCCTGATTCACTAGAAGACTTTTAGTTCATGTGTTCTGATGCTAAAAGCAGAATGCCATGAAAGGCTAAAACTCAAGCACTTACACATTAAAAAACAAAAAACCTTTCTTTACTTAAAGCGATTTATTTTCCCGTAACAATACATTAAGCTACATAAACTTGGTTAAATACTATAGTACCTCTCTGATTTAATGCTTAATTTAAGTTAAAGCTGATAAAAACAGGCTATAACCAAGAACTTCAAAGTAAATACTGTTTATGCTGCCATATTATCTATATAAATGCTATATAAATTGCTATATTTATAGCAACACATAGTCGTCTAGTCATTCAAGTCAGAAACATGGAGGATACCTCCTCTCATTTACCTCCTCCACCATATCCTTGTATTATACAAACATTCCCTCACATACCCTTCTGCCAAACATCTCTCAAATCTTTCTTGCTCTCCATTTTCTACTTCACTGTCTTTGTCAAAGCTTTCATCACTTCTCCCACATTGTATAAGATTGCTTATGTGCTAAGTCAAATTACTCTTTCACCATAGCAAGCTCATCTCTAGCAATGCAACTACAGAGACCTTTCTTAAATTCAAATCCATTTACTCAAACTTACTTTTTATCAGTACCAAATGTCTGCAAAATAAAAGCCAAAGGTTTAAAAACCAATTTTACCTTTTTTTTTTTTTTTGAGACAGAGTTTTTGTTGCCCTCAGTAGAGTGCCGTAGCATCATGGCTCAGAGGAACCTTAAACTCTTGGGCTCAAGTGCTTCTCTTGCCTCGGCCTCCCAAGTAGCTGGGACTATAGGTGCCTGCCACAACGCCTGGCTATTTTTAGACATAGGGTCTCACCCTTGCACAGGTTGGTCTCAAACCCATGAGCTCAGGCAATCCACCTGTCTCAGTCTCCCAGAGTGCTAGGATTACAGGTGTGAGCCGCTGCACCCAGCCTTTATCACTTATCGTGTATTTTAGCTAAGAGCAACTGTCTTAAGGTTCCTGACTATGCTAAGTTTGTTCCTATCTCTATACTTACTATAGAATGCTCTACACTCCCTTATGCTAAAGAGGGGTTCAATCTGTGCCCAGGATGCATGCTGATTTTGTGATGACTTTTTTGTTTACCTGTGTTGTCGGATATCAAGTATGCACAGTCTTTTTTTGCTAATCAGCTTTTGTTAGTGTTTATGTATTTTATCATGTGGCCTAAGACAACGTTTATTCTTCCAGTGTGTGGCAATAAAGAAAAAAAGGTTGGACACTCCTCCTAAAGCTTCCTAGAAAAACTTAACACTTTTATTATACTTGGCAAGGGTAAAACGCTATCATTCTCTGAAAGTCCGTCTCTAGCATGCCCCAGCTGTTTAGACTGTTTCACTGCTGTACTGTCTTACTTCAAGATGTAATAATGTGCTTATGTGTTTGTTCCTTCCCTAAACTGAGAACCTGTTCTATTTATCTCTCCTCAGCAACTAAAACAGTAATGATCTCAAAAATGAAAACATACGCTTGTTTCCTAAATAAATGAATGAAAAGAGAAGCCAATCTGAGGTACAACCACTTTTTTTGAGACACAGTCTCACTCTGTTGCCCTAGGCTACAGTATGGTGGTGTCACAGCTCTCAGCAACCTTGAACTTCAGAGCTCAAGTGATCTTCTTACCTCAGCCTACTGAGTTGCTTGGACTACATGCGCTGGGCACAACACCCAGCTATTTTTTTCTATTTTTACGTAGAGATAGGGTCTTGCTCAGGCTGGTCTCAAACTCCTGAGCTCAGGCAATCCACTTGCCTCGTTTTCCCAAAATCTTAGGATTATAGGCATAAGCCACCATTATGGCTCAGTCTCAACCTATTGATTTTAGTTTCTTGTCTAAATAAGATTGTCATAAAGACCAGAAAATTAAAAAATAAAAAAAAATTTTTTAAAGCTGTATAATTATCATCACTGGTTAAAAAGAACAGCATTATCCATTTCATTGCAAGTTACATAGCATATCAACAGTTTACTTTAAAAAGATTAAATAATGAAGATATTCCAGTTTTGCAAATAAGAATCTGAGATTCTTTTTGTTTTGTTCCCTGTTAAGTCAAGAGCAAATCAATTTGAAAATCTAAAGACTAAAACTGTTAACAACAGAATTACAAGCTTACCAGCTTTTTGATAGAAATTGGCTGTTTCATATGCCAGTGCAGCAATTAGTCCAGGAGCATGTTTTAGTTCAATTGCTCGAGCAATTGTTACTGTAACCAAACACAATAAAGAGATCTTAAATTGTGTTCACTTTTACTCATCTGGATTTCAATTTTAACAGCAAAGGACAGTGACAGTTGTTTTGGGATTTCATTCAGTTTGTTAAAAGTTCTACCATGAAAAGTTAGAGAAAATGCAAACTCAAACGAACAGCACAACACTGAGCTTATTGGTTCTGATACTGTTTCCTCAAATCAATCACCAGACCATTACTACTAGCTAATCACAGAGAATTACTACTACAAAAACAGCATGACATTAATAGGACACAAATACTTTTGAGGAGCACTGGAGTTTGAAATAGAGAAACAAAAGCCCACACGTTTCTTTACGGTTTAACATAAGTTCCATTGTTTCCTGCCAGTTAAAGGTAAAAACTTTAAGGTAAGCCACATAATGAAAGAGGAAAGATAAGTTTAAAAATTGATTTTGTATTGTCAGAAATGATATGAAATCAAAATTTTCTTAAAAAGAGTCATTAAACTATAAGACCTTTCCTTTTTTTTTTTTGCAGTTTTTGGCCGGGGCTGGGTTTGAACCCGCCACCTCCGGCACATGGGGCTGGCGCCCTACTCCTTTGAGCCACAGGTGCTGCCCTGTAAGACCTTTTCTTGCTAAGAACTGAAGGCCAATCAATGCTAAGGGTAAACTTATTCCTCATTAATTTCTCAAAACCTGAAAATTCCAGCTAATTCTGACCTTAAAAGAAGAATTAAATGCCAATATAGATTTTCTCAGAAAAACAAAAAAACAAAGAACTTTAGAATATTTAAGATACCTTCTTGAGCTTCAGCCTGACACTGGATAATATAAGCTTCTATGAGCCGTCCCTCTAAATCCCTTCCCTTTTCTGCAGGTGTAATAAGTTTGGGGATATGACTTTCCTAAGAAAAAAGAAAAAAAAAGCAAAGGAAGCCAAATTCTATTTTAATCCACTTATTAGAGATGAAGAAAATACAAGTTATGAGACATTGAATTTAAGGATTAACCAGAAATTTAGAGGACAAATAAAAGCTGTGAAAAAAGTGCAACTGTAAACCTAGAATAAAAGTTCCCATATGCTAAAACTTGGCTTTTATAATAACAGGAAATTCAGGAACAAAATTTGGGTCCTAATAGATTCCTCAGATATGCAAGCCATACTTTTATCTTGAAAAATGTTTAACTGAATGAAATAGTAACCAAAATTCTCTTTTGCAAGATAGCCTGAATTGTTTATTTACACTAATAAAGATAATAAGAAAAAACACTACAATTCTTAACCTAAGTCAGAATCACAAATTTTTAATAACTGTAAAAGCATCTTATTTTATCAATCCAACACGGCCTCCAGGAATTCCACCTTCAGTAAACAGTGGTTTAATCAGAATCAAGCAGGGGAAATTCTGTCTGGACACATTATTTTTCTTACAATCCCCATCACATTTCCAGGAAATTTACTATAATTAAATTTAGCAGTGACTGCCTCGCTACTGCTTTCACTGCAATCCAGAGAATGCGATCAAAAGTTAAAGTTTATGGAATCATGACTGGTCCTGCCCACTGCTGCAGAGCACATTAAGAAATGGTCAGAAGCATCAATTTTTCTACCTTGTATTCTCCTACCTTTTCGGAGACCAAGAAAAAAGAGCAGAGTATTACAACTTCATTTTCTAATTATAAAGGTCATGAGTGAGGCTAGCATGATGGCTCATGCCTGTAATCCTAGCACTCTGGAAGGCCAAGGCTGCAGGAAGATCATGTGAACTCAGGAGTTCAAGACTAGCCTGAGCAAGAGTGAGACCCCATCTCCACTAAAAATAGAAAAATTAGCTGGGGCTTGTGGCAGGAGCCGGTAGTCCCAGCTGTTCAGGAGGCTGAGGAAGTGCCTCCCAGGAGTTTGTGGTTCCTGTGAGCTAGAGTTATGCCGCGGCACTCTAGCCAAGGGCAACAGAGTGAGGCTCTGTCTGGAAAAAAATAATTAAAGTTAGTAGTGATTTCAAGATTAATATGAAGATATGAAGATATTTAATATTCAACACTGGCTTACTCATCAATAAAGTATTCAAGAAAAGGAAAACAGAACACTAGCACTTTTTACATAATAAAACAATTCTTTCTCCACCCTCCCCCAATTTTTTTCCCCAAGAATTAAAGCATTAAGAATATATTCTTATGTATATATTCTTCATATATATGTATGTGTGTACATATATATATATATTTTATAAATATATATGTAATACACATATATTTTTTTTTTACCTTTAGGTGTTTAAAAATCCCAGCTGCAATTTTTAGGCTTCGATGGACTTCTTTTGCTTCATCTTCTGTTATACTTAAAGACAGTGGTTACATTAATCAGAGGATGAATGTTCATTTGTTATTAAAATTAACAACTAATACATAACTATACATACAAAATTAGTTATTGTGTTTCTCTAAAATAAGGAAAACCACTAGTTTTCTATGGTACCTATACTCATTGCTTATTTTTATCACCAAACTTAAAGATAGTTTTACCTTAGCACATACAATTTGACTTCATTTTCAAATGGTTGCGTATGATATCCATGTATGAACCCTAATCATAATTAACCAATTTCCATTGCCACATTCTTTTTAACTACTTTAAAAGGTGTATTTCATTTCACTTTATAATTCTTTAATCCTTCAAAACATTTCATTATACTTACAAGCCTTTTGTATTTCTTTTTCTGTGAACTTCCTATCATGTCTTTTGCTTATTTTCAATTGATTTCTCTTTGATTTGTAAGCATATATATTGTAAAAATAATTTATTATGTGCCTTGTTTTTGACCAATCTTGTCACTAGCTTTCTAACTTTATCGATGGTATTTTTATGCAGTCTACTATTCAGTCTTTTACTTACAGTTTCTTGGTTTGGAGAGTTTTTTAGAAAGACCTTCCACAAGACAAGACTATTAATTTTTTTTTTCCCTTTAAATACTAGGAACCATAATTCTGACACTTGACATACTAACAGTATCAGGGAAATCTTTCACTTGTCCAAAGTGGTACTTTAACCTTAGTTTTTAAAAATAATGAAGCTCCATATACTTGAAAAATATTACCAATGTATATAACTTTCCCCTTTTAACTTACTTTTCTTTTCCAGCCAGTCTTGAAGCATATTTGGTATACCACAAAGCTACATTAAATCCCATGGAAATTAATTCGAAAACAGCATCCTGTTGGGCACTGGAATTATAAATATGATCATTAAGTTCTGTCAATTAATGAAACATCACTACATGAAGCTTATTTGACATTCAACTCAAAATTACAAAACTATATGCTAACTGGTACACATGAAGGAAGGTTCTTATGTTTAATACAACTGTGGACGTAACACACACACAGGAATTAACAATGAGTAGCTAAATGTAGTGGTCTGGCATGTGCTTCATAGTAATAAGCACGAGAATAATAATTCCCAAAGTTTACTGAATACAGAGTTGCTTTAAAAATATACATTTCTGGCACATAGCCCCAGAAAGCCAGAAAGTCTGAGATGGGGCCCAGAGTCAGTTTTTAAAAGTACTCAGTTGATTCTGAAATAGAGAGTTGATTCTCTTATATGTGTACATTTTACAAAAACGGAATCCAGAGGAGAAATCATTTCAGGCTAGAATGGCGAAAAGCTTAATGGTAATTATCTGAACTGTGCCTTCAAGGATGGCTAGGTGGGAAGCAAAAGGACACCCCCAAATGAGAAAATGATGTTATTAAAGCACAAAAAAGTTTAAGATTTTTCTGATAGAAGTGGTCCAAGGAGCCTGATTGGAACAGATGAAGATGATGTTGAATGCTAAGCCAATCAGGATCTATAAAAAATATCTTGAGAACAAGTATACCATGTTCGCCTGAAAATAAGACACTGTCTTATATTTATTTTTTCTCAAGAAGACACACTAGGGCTTATTTTCAGGGGATGTCTTATCCGCCGCCAAAATGCATGGGTGTGGTTATGCGGATACACTGCATAGCCACGCCCATCACTAGGTCTTATTATCAGGGTAGGGCTTATATTTAACAAATGCATAGAAATCCTGCTAGGGCTTATTTAACACGGTATTTTAAACCTTGTTTAGTCTCTGTTACATTCTATTACTAAATATGACAAAGATGGCAAATAAGATATTTATGTATGCACTATATTCTTGCTAGAGCCTGACATTCTTTATACCTCATCTCATTTATATCATGAAGAGGTAATATCCTCATTTTACATATGTAATACCAAGATACAGAAAAGTAACCCAAAGGGAATAACAAATCAGAATTATGACTCTATTTTGTACTTTTTATTTACTTGTTGCCCCTCTCTTTGAAGGAATAGAGACATGGCAACATTTTAGATTAAAAACAAATTATTATAAAATATGTAGTAATTAAAAATAATTTATATCACCCTCAATAGAGTGCTGTGGTACCACAGCACACAGCAACCTCAAACTCTAGGGCTTAAGTGATTCTCTTGCCTCAGCCTCCCAAGTAGCTGGGACTACAGGTGCACACCACAATGCCCAGCTATTTTTTTTTTTTTTTGAGACAGA